CTTTCAGGAGGTATGTCTGTAATAAACTAAGACCACTAATAGAACTTTTCCCTATTTTATTTAACTTAGTAGCTTTGAGAACAAAATATTTGTAAACTTTTTTCTGTATTTGTTTAAGAAACATTCTAAGGTTTTGAAATTAATTTTTCTTTGTCTGCCACTGTTTTCTCAATCTCAATTTTTGGTCTAGTTTTGTGATAATAATAATTATATTTTCTAATATTGCAAAAATCTAATATAAATGTTAAACACTACTTGAACTTGCCATTTTAAACTTTGGTAATCCTTATGAAAGATCCAAAGAAAAGAAAAATGTGTGAGGGTGATGTGCATCAAGCTACTGGTAAAGCTTATTGAGCAGTTATTATAGTATTGTTGTAGTGTAGTGTTAAAAATGTTGTGGTTGTATCCAGCTTTCTTTCTTTATTATTACCTGTATTAGAACAACATATGCAGGTTGTACAAAGGCTACGTAACTCTTGTGAAATGTGTATGAAATTGTTATTTGTGATTGGTGTCTGAATAGTTCTCCTCAAGGGGAGTTTTATGTTAAATATAAAAGTACTATTTTTTATCATTCAGTTTTACAATTCACATGCATAATCTGTATAGTTGCCTAAATCAATATCAAACATTTTTTTAATACTTGATGCATGAATCAAACAGACATTTTTGGGGGAGAGTTCCAGAAAAACTCTTTCCAGAATTAAAGATATCTTTATTCTAAATACACCAAATGATTTATCTTAATCTCCAGAATTGAATGAGCATATTCACTTCTCGTTATTCTCAGTCTACACTGTTTCCCGATTGACGATCTGTGACTTTCCATGGCTTTGAACCTATCAAAACACCTCACTTCTACACACCTTTGAAGATAGTAATGATCCTAGAAACTTTATACTTCCCAGGAGCAGTGTAAAGTGTCATGCTGTTTCCACTCGCAAACTACCACAGTTTTCGTCAGCAACTACTCCTCTGTTTACAGTGATGGCTGAGGAAGTTACTAACAAGTTTACGTGATGCTGCAAAGTGCAGTACTTGTCTGAAGTCCCATAGATGTGGTTTTGATCATGACAGGATTCTGGTCATAGTGAAATTAAGGCAAAAAAAGAGGGGGCAAGCAACAGATGAATTCCATGGTGTCAAAAACTAGGAAATTATACTGTAATGCTAGCAAAGCACTGTACAAGCCAGGCACTTCTGTTTAGCCAAAAGAGTCAGGAGTTGACAGGTCTAATGAAAGGCAGCATAGAGAAGATGTTTTCAAAGTCTGTTATCATACTCCTGCTATTCTTGCAGTTTGCCTCTTCCACTTGTCTCATTTCACCCACTTTAGTTGTCTATGTCTGCTTGTCAGGCACAAGAACGAAGTAGGTGAAGAAATGGAAGATGAAGAAAAGGAAGTGTAAGAAGATGCAGCCAATGCCATATTACTTGCATAGATAATGAGAATTGTGATACAATGCATTTGTGCTTCTTGCAGCTGTTTGTTTTAGCACTTCATGGACGAAGAGACAGAACTAGGACAGTTATTACTCCACGATACTGTAGCAGAAGAAGAATAGAGTGGAGAAGGAAAGGAGGATTGGACAAGTTCCCAAACATTATTCACACATCATTTTTCTTTTTCTGTCTTGGTGGCTAGGCAGTGCCAATACCATGATTGGTGTTCCCTTACCACCACCCAAACAGGTGCTTCTCTCTTGGATTGGAGTGCTTCTCTGAATGACGTGACTTCTTTCATTTTTTGGACACAGAAGGAGAATTTGCTTCACATCAATATGCTTTACTTCTCACTGTTCCCACTTCCTTCCTCTCCTAGTGGTTCAGTTGGTCATGATACACTCTGACAATTCCATGGTTGTTTCTGAAATCAACCATCATGTTGACACCAGCTCCAGGACTCTTTGCTTTTGAACATTAGACCTCCTCATCTTTAACCTATTCCCATTGGGTTCATCTCATGGCTTGTCATGTGTCGAGGCTTTGAACCTGTTGTAAGATTGTCTCTCTCAGCTGAACTGAATTCTGCCCACTGAATGCTTTCTACACCTCTAAGTTTTTGGTAGGTGTGATCGAGGTTGAACACGTGCCTCTTAGATGCATTTGCCACTCCTCTCAACTCTTAGCTTTCTCTCTTCTGGTACTAGGTTTCTCATCCTTTGGCTCTGGCTGTTGATGCTCTCAGCCAGGATAGATCTCACCTTTTTCTGTATACCTATCCTCCTCTTTGACTTCTCCCTTGGTTCCTGACCTTGATATGCATCAGGTCCTCTTGGTGATGACTCTTTGGCTAACTCGGCCTTGGTTTCATCTACTTCTTGGATGTCTGGATCTCCTCTTCCCAGTATCTCCTCTGTATTGCTTCAACCTCATCCAGTGATATCACTCCTTCACTTTTATGTGTGTGATTTGTCTGGATATAGAAGATGGTCTAAAATAATGTGTATGTAGTAAAATGTGTTTAAATTACACATATTTGTAAAGATTTGATTGGTATCCATTGGTTTTCTAATAACTCTTTATACATCAGTGTCCATATTCCTTAATTTGTAGCCCTGGGTAATATCTCAGGGTTTGTATTTTGGAAAGAATATTGCTCTTAAATGATAAGATATTTTACAGGAAGAGAGGTATTTGGTAAGTAGAAATTATTAGAATGCTCAAAAATCCTGTGAATAACTTATTTAAATTGAAGAAAAGGTGGATGACATTTCAGGTCATTAGTGTTCTTCCTTCAGGCCAGCACAACTTGGTGATGTCTGGAGTTTTATGATTTGGGATGTAACCAGAAAAGAGAGTTACTATGTCAATAATTTTGCAGTTTTTCTAGTTTTTGTCATGTCTAGTCTTGGCTGGATGTTCTGCATTGGGAAAAGTGTTGGATTTCTTTGTTCAGATGGCATGTTGGTGTTCTCAGTTGTGTCACAAATGCCAGATTGTTTCTTCCATGTATTGTTCTCCATAGCTGCATTACATTTTGTAAATGACTTCTTTGGTTTTAAATGTCCCTATTAATTATATAAGGTAAAAAATTATTGATGGTTTCCAAATGTAAAATGCCTTGCAAGTTTCTTGATAGATAACTGAGCATGAGAAAAAATGTGAGGGTAATGCTGGCTTGTGGATTGATATGATTTTTTGAAATTGTGTGTGTGGTGTGATTGTTGTGCGTCATTTTGTTTTCAGGATATCCATTGAATTTGAAGATAAATATGTGTTTGTAATAGAAGAGATGTTTAACTGCAATTGTTAGAAACTTGATTGAGAGTTTTGGATAGTATGGCTTATAGATGATTTGACTTGAGATAATAGTATTTTCCTGTGTATGTTGGTTTTCTGTAGATTCTAGTTGTAAGGAAGTTTTCCTGGCAGTGTTTTATGACAAAAAATAGGACTGTCATCTCTGTAGGCATCATTAATGTATGGAATGGTGTCACATATATAAGGATGGTTGTTCTTACTTGTCTAGAGATCACAGTGTGCTTAACTAATAAAATGAGCTTGTTGTGTTTTATTTCATTGCTTATCGATGAGACTGTTGTTCATGAAGAATTTACAGCTAGGACGTTGATAGTGCTGAAATCAAGCATCTAAGTCATTTAGAGATTAAAACAGATGATGACTTGGGTTACAAAATGATTCAATTTCATATAGCTAATAAGTAAAACCAATAAAAGTATTTGACATGATCTTGTACTGTATGTGGAGCTGTTAATAATTTTGATAATTCTTATTGGAATGATAAACAATTTTTGTTTGGAAGTAATGTAATTGTAAATATCTATATGTATTGCCCATCTACGTACAAAATTTTTGCATCAAATTGTCAAATAAGTTAGATGTTAAGATTTTGTTTAGTATGGTATTGGTAAATGTCTTGAATACCTGTAGTATAAAACTTTATAGTAATTGTGAAATTAATGTAAACTAATACTGTATAGTCTGTTATGTGTATATTTGTGGATGTTATTTAGTTTGGTGGTACATGAAAAACTTGTGTATTACTGTTGTGTAGAATTGGTGTTTATTCAGGTAATATCAAGTAATAATTTATTTTGGGAGAGTGCAATGGTTAGAAAAAAAAAGGATCACAAAATGATCCAGAATACCTTTCTATTATGAAAAATGTAGCCATGTCTTTTAAACCAAATCTTTTGGGTTCATTGTTTTATATTGCTGCAAGTTTTAATGCTTTTATTTTATTTTTCTTACATAGATTGTGATGTTTGCCTGAAAGGAAAACAAATTCACACTTTAAAAAAGAAAAAGAAAAAAAAAAGCAAAGGTTTATGAAGATGTAATACAATCCCAGGGATAGAAGTAATGAAATAAAATTACATTCACTTGAGGGAAAGGTATCAGGAAGATTACATTCACTCATGCAAAGTTTCATTTCCTCATGAATTTTTTTATTTAATCCATGCAATATGTTCACTTTCATTGGCCATAACTAAAGGAATACGGATAGACCATAAAAAAAGGAAATTCCTCGGAAATGTAATATTTCAGTCCCTGAATCCAGAATAGGCTTGTCAGTAACTTTACTTAGACAGGAAACTCATCTATAAAGGTTATACAAAATATTGACAACATTAATTATAGGAAAAATAAAGAATTAAAAAGAAGAATTAGATTTATGAGATATGCTTGCAATTTTTAGAACTTAATCGAAGCTTTGTTAAAGTTTTACAGTTTTTAAATGTTCTTAAGTCTATTAACTTTATAAGTTCTTTGTGCAACCTGGTTTACACGTAATATTCATTGGGGTTTGTTTGTTTATGAAATGAAAGTATTTAGTTTCATAGTTTGGAATCGTCCATTTTATGCTGTGTTTAAAAAATGTACTGAAAATATTAAAATTTGTTGTGTATTTTTTTCTCCAAAGGAGATTGTGAATATAAGATGAAACTACCATAAAAGTTTTAAATAATTACATATTTTTGCTTCTAAAAATAATAGATTTTCTTTATTATTAAACAAAATGTTTTTTGTAGAAACACATGGAGGAAGGTAGACACATGTCATCTGATAACACAGAAAAAAGAGATACTCAATTCTCCTATGTGCATGGTACTTCATATGGTACAGTGAAAACTGAAAGCACATGTTTTGTGTGCTGCATGAGATTTTCAACAGCATCTATGTGTCATGAACATCAAAAACATGTTCATATGCGCTGGGTTGACAGAGAAGCTCAAGATCATTCTGAGGAAGAATTCACTGGTATGTCTTTGAGTATGAATTTTTTTTTATATGAAAAATACTTTTCTGGTAACAGACTGTGTGTGTATACGGTATGTCTTGGAGTATGTATTTTTTTTTATATGAAAAATACTTTTCTGGTAACAGACTGTGTGTGTATACAATTAGTTTGTTTAGTTTTAATATACAAAGTGGATTTATCACTTATTTTCTCAGTTTGCCTTATATATTGTGTATATTTGTATTTCTTTTTTAACTTTTTTTTTTAATTAGAAACTTTTATGGAAAATTTTTATATTTTTGAGTTCTCTAACCAGAGTATAACCAAACTTATAGTCAATTCTTGATGCCCATTTGTTTCATATTCTGATCAGCTTATACATACTTTTTATTCCTTGGATAGTGTTTAGTTATAGTTGTATTCTCTTATGCAGAATATGTTTTAAAATTATCATTCAAGAATGGAAAATTCTATTGATTAAAACTGCAAAAACATTATATTGAACAAAAATTGGGTCATAATATAATGTTATAAAGGACTAAAATAAATAATATTATATTTAGTTATACATTTTTTGAGTAGTATGTTTTAGAATTAACCCAGCTTTTTACACCAGTAAATGGAGTTGTGTTTGTGGTCTAAGAGGCTATAACAGATATTCAAGGCTGATTGTATTATGATGTGGTTCAGGTTAAACCAACAACATTTTCAGTATATACCTATAGAAATGGATTAAATATAATCTATTTCCCTTTCTATGGTCAAAATTTACGTTTTTGAGTTATGATATAAATATCCAATACAATTTGTTTTTTCTGAATAAAACTACTAATTGTCTTTAACTACATCTATAAAATATTAAAATTGCACACACATTTCTAAGTATGAAATTGAACTTCACAAAAGTAACTTTCATCTCATAGTGGTGCATGTAGGATAGAATTGTGTTTCAATATTTTGTAAGATAGGACTTTACATCTAAACATTATTTGTTTCTTTATTTAGTAGTCACACACATTAAAAACAACGTGTGAAAGACCTATTTTTTGCAGTATTTCAAATGTATATCTCATATTTGGTAACTAAATACAATATATTTTTAAAATTTAGATTTAGTTTAAGTAGTTTTCCAGTTACATTAGCTATTTATTTTGGTGAAACAAATAGATAAACACAGTTATCATTAGATAATCAGTTGATAGAAATTGCTTCAATAACAAAAACCAACATAAAAGACAAATTAATTGAATATTACTGGTACAATTTGTATTTATTAATATAGTTAATATTTTGAGCTACCACTCTTCTTTAGAACTGATGGTAAAATATTGAATGTTTGAACTTTACAGCAAACTGTAGACAGAACATTACAAGGTTTAAAATATAACACATATGCTAGTAAACACATTCCCAAATATATGTACAGTTTAAGAATATTAAAAGTTTTGTGTGATTTAATCCTTTCCAGACAGGTCACGGGTGAAAGGCTATGTTATTGCATTTGTTGAATTGCATTCAGAATTCTATTGAATTACTTTTTTTATGAATTTATGTCAGTAAATTTGGTATCAATCTGTAGATTATAATTCAGATTTTAATATTATACATTATTCAATTTCTTAATTTAAAAGTAAATATTAAAAAACACACAAACATTGATTTTTGTGTGTCACATGGTGTGTTGAATGCAGCACTGGTTCAAATTAGATATTTGTGAAGTCAGTATACAAATTCTATAGTTTTGTATGAATTAGGAACTCAAATTACTGATATTGACAAGCTAGAATATAAAATAAGAACCTTCTATCTTTACTATTTGCTGAGATATTGCTCATGAACTGAATCAAACACAATGGCCACACTCACCTCTTTCTATTTTTGGAAATGCTCCCTTATAGACATTTCTGTATATTACATGTAAATAACCAATCAAAAGCTCAGAATGTCCCTCTAGTGGCTCTCTCAGCCACTTTGAAGTGTTGCAACATAATCTCCATCTTTCAAAACAAGACTTCAAGAAGGTAGGTTGAGTCTTTAGTCTGCTCGAAATTTCTTATTTTTTTAGATCGAAATACAGCTTAGTTACTAAGCTTGATAAATTATAATGGAACTCTATGGTATCAATATAGTAATTTATGATTATTTGGTTATTCAAATGTATATATAATATCTCCAAAAAATTATCTTGTTTTATATCCTTCACATGCAAAATTTTAAAAGGCTTAGCAACCTATGCCAAGCAAGAACCAAATACAAAGGTCGTAACTAGAAGAGATAATTGTTTCTTTATTTACTGCTCTATATTATAAGAAAAATAAGTTTAAGAACTTATCTCAAAATAGCAATAATCTATATACA